ATAAAATCTTGACGAAGAACTTACTTTTTTATCTGACCAGATCCATTTGTCCCACTCTTCCTGAGGCTTATTCAAATGTCGATTGGCAAATACCAATCGTTCTTGTCGATGCCTTTCATTAAGGACGCATTTTTTCGTCGGATGACACGAAATCAATCCAGCTGCCTTTAGTCATCGTGTGAATTTACCAAATCGGATATTGTTCTTGGTGTAGCAGATCCTAAACTTGGAGCTAATATCACTGAAACTTTGGGTATCAAGTGCGACCATGTCAATATTGTTCCTGAAATCACGAGGGGAATAAGATTCCACTTTCATAATTTAGTGAAAGGTTTACTTCCGAGTTTTACTTCTGAGAACTCTATACGTTCACAACTAGGTCTTGGGCACAGTTACTCGAGAGCAAAAGTTAAGTTCAATGTAAACCGAGTAGACAACATGATCATCCAAAGTATAGCCTTACTTGATCAACTGGACAAGGATATCAACACATTTAGCATGCGTATGCGGTATGTATAGTACACTCCTTAAATATATCGAAAATAAAATAAGATTAGAAGGTACTTGAATATAACTTTTTCATTTTGATTTTAGAGAATGGTACAGTTATCACTATCCAGAACTTGCAAAAATAGTTCCAGAGAATTATACATACGCGAGAGTTGCACAAATAATAAAAGACAGAAAGCAACTAACGGATGAAAAGATAAAAATGTTAGAAGAAGTTGTTATGGACAGTTCAAGAACAGAAGCTATTATTAACGCGGCCAAGTCGTCCATGGGAATGGACATAAGTCCAGTTGATTTAATGAACGTTGAGATTTTTGCTGGACGTGTTGTTGCATTGGTCGAATATAGGAAAAAGATGGCTGATTATTTAACGCGAAAAATGGCAGGAGTAGCACCGAATTTAGCTACTTTAATCGGAGATCAAGTCGGCGCCAGATTAATAGCACATGCTGGATCGCTTACTAATTTAGCAAAAGCACCAGCGTCTACCGTTCAAATATTGGGAGCCGAAAAAGCTTTGTTCAGAGCATTGAAAAGCCGTGGAAAGTCGAATACTCCAAAATATGGATTATTGTTCCACTCTACATTTATCGGTCGTGCCGGCACTAGAAATAAGGGTAGAATTGCAAGATACCTGGCAAATAAATGTTCTATTGCTTCTAGAATCGATTGTTTCGCGGAAATACCAACGAAGATATTTGGTGAAAAATTACGGCAACAGGTAGAAGACAGACTAGACTTCTTCACAACTGGCAAGGAACCGAAGAAAAATCTGGACGTGATGAAAGAAGCACTGGAGGAAACGGCACATGTGTTGGCAGCTCAAGAAAAAGAAGCTGAAAAGAAAAAGAAACATAAAAAAAGAAAATGTGAGATTCTCGAAAATGGTCAAGAGAATGGTCATATCGAAAACGGTGAAGTGGACACGTCATTGCAGAAAAAGAAAAAAAAGAAAAAATCGAAACAGACTGATGAATAAAGAAAGATCGCCTTCTATTCATAGTATGTTTTAAAATCAAAATGTGCTAAAATTTTTATATTTCAGAAATATTAAAAAAAATGTTTACTTAACAATTAATAATTTTCTTCTTTGTATTAAGATAAATTTATGTTATAAATAGTTATATCTATTAAAATTATATCCTCTACAGATTTATACATTATAAGCAAACATTTATAGTGTCTTTTTATAGCATTATTATAAAATACAAACAAAAATATAAAAAATTTAATAACTTTTTTTTTTTTTAGTATACGACATCGTTTTTTGTATGGGAGAGACGTATACAAAGGAAATCTTACACGTAAAACCGGAATTGTGTGCAGTGAACTTAATTACTAGAGATAATGGATGGCCAATTATGTAATTCATATTTTAAGAAAATAATAAAACAATATAAAATTTACAAATATAACTAGCACATTCCATGCGCGCGCTTCGTGCACGCTGATCCATTATATACTTAAATAATCCTTTCATTTTTCTAATTTTCTGTATTTATTGGTTTTTTAAATATTAATTTTTTAAATCACTTTTCAGAATAATTCTTATCCTAAATTTTCTAAATTAATGACTTTTTCATAATTATTTGAAGTCATGTACAGATTGTATGTTTTTTCTGGTTTACGTTATTAATCTAAAAGGTTGATACGATATTTATTTATTCTAACTTAGAACCCCGTTAACATACAAATTGATTTCCTGTGTGTGTGTGCGTGTGTGACACCGTTTATTTCCATCTCATTTATCTACTATTACCTATATGTTAATGAAACAAATAAAATATTCGTTTAAAAAACTTTTAAACAACAAAAAATTGCATACATTTTCCAAAAAGTTAAAGAATTTTCAATAAAATTTTAAATAAATTTTATTTAATTTCGGCGATTTTTGAATAAGTTAGATGAAAGAAAAACACGAAATTATTAACAGATCAATTAAAAATTTAATATTAGAATTCTGTATTACGACCGTCAATTATAAATTAACAAGAATAGGGAAACCGTAATAATTTACGATTTACTAAGCCTCTACGGTCAAAGCTAGATTACTATGCTTATTATAATGTGTGAATTTATATACCGCGTATGTAGTCACCAATCACGTGCCGAAAATTTTTTCCAGACTTACAACGCAACAATTAAACAACTACCGCAGTAATATCACTTTTTTTA